AAATAAAGTTCTTGGGGTCCAGCAGATGGCACAGCAGTTATGTTGCTGGACTCCCACATGGACAACCCAGTGGCTTGAAAATTATGCTGGCCATGTGTGCATACACACCAAGATCCCGGAAGGAGAATGGAGGAGAAGGGATTGTGGCATGGCCACCCCCCTCCTCGGGGCGTTATTTCTCACTTTTTCCCCTCACTGTCTCTGACCCTGTCTCTCTATCTCTATCTCTCTCTCTCTCCCTTCCTGGTGAGCACACATGTTCCAAGGCAAAAACCTCTAAAAAACATAATAATGTCCTGAACTCTCTTTTATTCAACCCTCTTTCACACACATTGATGATACTTCTAAATATATTCTTTGTGGATGGACCACAGGTTTTTTATTTGTTAATATTATGGAATATATTATCATTGTCTTTTTTTTCTAATTTCCTGAATAAACAATAAAAACCTTTTTTTCAGGCCAGCTGATTGCATGGTGGTTAAGATGACTGAGTCCTACATTGTAGACTGCTCTGTTTGAGTCTGTGACTTGAGAACCATGCTATTCAAGTGTAAATACATGCCCAAAATCTTGAAAGGAGAGAGAAATAGAGGGATTTTGGCATGACCATTCCCCAGGTTGTATGCTTTCTCTTCTCCCTCTCTCTTTCTCTGTCCCCTTCTCACTTTCCCTCCCCTACCCCTAGGAAATGCAAATGCCCTCTGGCATATTTTTAAAAAATTTGTTCTCATTTGTCATGGCGTGGTTCTCTTTCTCCATCAGAAAATATTATTGTTTCTTAGATTCTGTACTTTTTTTATATATATCTTAGGCCCTCTTCGAGCATAAGAGTTGAACCTAGGTTCACTTTCATTCATTAGAATAGCTTTAGCTACCACTGAATTTCTGCTGCTCCTGAAATACTTGGCTACAGACACTTCAAACATGATATGCCCAGGATATATCTCTTCACCACTTATGTATTTCCCCTAATTTTTTTTTTTTTTTTGGAGAGGTTTTTGCTATAGGGCGCATGCACTCGCCAGAGAGACAGAAAGCAAGAAATCACCCCCCAGGGGGTGGCCACGCCGCAATCCCTTCTCCTCCATTCTCCTCTCGGGATCTTGGGAACGCACGCACACGCGCCCAGCATGAGTTTAAGCCACCAGGTCCAGGACTCGAACCATGGTCGACAACATGGGAGTCCAGCGACATACCCATTATGCCAACTGCTGGTCCGAGAACCCTTATCTTTTAATGCTTAATCCGGAAGCATTCAATTAATCTCTCCTTTTCATTCACTGGAAAACAAATTAGTACCAAGTTCTATTCCTGCTTTTTATAGGATTGTTTCCCTATTTAGTATTCTTATTTTTCTATGGCATGATTTAGGTGATCTAGTCTAATTTGATTTTAACCCTATTGCATTCCCTTAAGCTTATCCTCATTCTGCAGTCTGGGGACAGCTGTCAAAATGCAAATCTAGTTGCATAATGTATTAATTTTTGGCCTATTTATGCCTTATGCTTTAGGAATTGGGTGATATTCATCTTCTTCACCATTTTTTTATTCCCCCAATTTTTTTTTTTTTTTTGGAGAGGTTTTTGCTATAGGGCGCATGCACTCGCCAGAGAGACAGAAAGCAAGAAATCACCCCCCAGGGGGTGGCCACGCCGCAATCCCTTCTCCTCCATTCTCCTCTCGGGATCTTGGGAACGCACGCACACGCGCCCAGCATGAGTTTAAGCCACCAGGTCCAGGACTCGAACCATGGTCGACAACATGGGAGTCCAGCGACATACCCATTATGCCAACTGCTGGTCCGAGAACCCTTATCTTTTAATGCTTAATCCGGAAGCATTCAATTAATCTCTCCTTTTCATTCACTGGAAAACAAATTAGTACCAAGTTCTATTCCTGCTTTTTATAGGATTGTTTCCCTATTTAGTATTCTTATTTTTCTATGGCATGATTTAGGTGATCTAGTCTAATTTGATTTTAACCCTATTGCATTCCCTTAAGCTTATCCTCATTCTGCAGTCTGGGGACAGCTGTCAAAATGCAAATCTAGTTGCATAATGTATTAATTTTTGGCCTATTTATGCCTTATGCTTTAGGAATTGGGTGATATTCATCTTTATGTGGACACTTACCAATTCTTTTAGATACTGGAGAGCACTATAAAGATGCCTTTAAACAACTTTATAAATAATTTATTAACAACAGCAAGCACATGAAACGTTTCATTGGAATTTGGTTAAGTACATAAATACAAAATCACTTCTTAATCAGTTTCTTTGACACCTTTACTCCCTCTGTCTTTCATCACAGAGAATTCTCATCAAGACATAGTACCATTAATTAATTAATGTCAGGTGTGTGTGTTTACTTTTAGGGCGGTACCTCTATACCTTTTATTTCCATAAGAACATGTTCACATACAAGATCTAAACATCTTTGGCTTTTCTTTGAACTGATAGTATACACAAAAACTTGTCTTGCTATGTTTTTGTTAGCCTGGTCTACAGCAAACTTGTTTCTAAATTAATTAATCTAACACATTATTTCTGGTATGATCTTACATGAACACATGATCCTAAGCATGAACACATATACTTAATGTGTTCATGTAAGATCCTAAGCACCTTGGAGCTGCAGACACTTTATTATGTCTTCATCCCTAGCAACAAGGACATTTACATAGCTATAGGAGAAATGGCTGGCTTATAATAATGCTTAGCAATGCACAAGTTAGCACAAAGGCAGGATGTTTTTAATTTTATTATCTCTTCATGTAGAGTACTAAAAACGAAAAACAAATATATACAGAGAAAAGTAAATCTCCCATATTTGTGTTCTAGTTCCCAGGGCTGATGAGTTGAGGGGAAATGTATTTTTACAGGGGTTCGTGTCATTTGAGGATGTAGCTGTGGACTTCACCTGGGAGGAGTGGCAGAACCTGAACGATGCTCAGAGGACCCTATATAAGGATGTGATGCTGGAGACCTACAGCAGCCTGGTGTTCTTGGGTTAGTGAAACTCCCAAGTAGCTCCCTAATGTAATCACTGTCTTCATTCATAGTAAATATTCAAAAGCCTCATAATGTTGAATGCTATTAGGCATAAGATTTCATTCTATAGTTAATGTGAATGGCACTCCTCTTTAACAAAGTGTTCCAATTGACCCCTTCATTGCACAGCTGATAAAACTGAGCTGCTGTTATTCTTCAAATTGCTGAGATTTTGGAAATTACATACTGTTTCCTTTAACAGGGCACTGTATTGCCAAACCTGCGGTGATCTTCAAGTTGGAGCAAGGAGGAGAGCCATGGACATTAGAATTCCCCAACCAGACCTTCCCAGGTTAGTCAGTGTATACTTGTCAGGGACTAATTTAATGTATCTCTTTTTAAAGAGCTTACATTTTTGAGAGAAAAAAAATTAAAATGAGTATTTGTAGTCAGGAGATAAACTGAGAATGTTTTACTGGGATAAATGTGAAAAAGGGGGTTCGTTATTTCTTGAAAAGTCCCAAGCAAAGGCAGGTTTAGGGAGATTTGCATTTATTTCATTGGATACAAATTGGTGATTAAGAGTTTCTCTTTTGTAATGTGCAAATAGTAGATGATCCATAAAAATGTTAACATCAGTTAAATAGCAGAACACAGTACTATAGTTGTAAGAATAAAGTAGTGAAAAAAGATAAGGAATACAAATGACAAATAAAAAACTTTCAGTTTAAAACTGAAACAAGGCAGAAGATAAATATCTTGACAGTATTTTGTCACATATAAGAAAGAAACATAAAGGAGCAAAGTAAAACATGATTTTCAGGAATTTATTATTGTATATTTTTATAATAACTTATTAAGGAATAAAACATTTATTATAGGTCAGTACCAATATTTGAAATAAAAAGAAATTTATTTACTTTTACAAATAAGCTACATAGAAAAGATTTTTAAATGTGATTCATGGATGTACTTGTCTTTTTCACCAAAGATGTTTGGAAAATAGATGAAGTGATTGGAAGTGAGGACAGATATTTGTGATGAGTTGTAACCACCAACAGCGATAATTAAGTAAGGAGAAAGTTGAATGAAGAAAAACATTTAATTTGAGTTCATTCCTTATTTCAAATGTAATACAAATAATGAAAATTTCACAGGAGTGAGGCCTGAATTTAATTTATGTCAAATACACATCTCCTAGCAAGCCTAATGAGGTGTATACTGACAATAACCCTGATGCCTATAATTTGACTAGGAAATATGCTGACAAGAATCCTGATGCCTATAATTTAACTAGGAAATCTCTCACACATTATAAACAACGTATTCAGGTTCATGAAATGCCATCTGGAGAACAGCATTGTGAATATAGTAAACAAGGGAAAGCCTTCCAAATAGAGGCAGTATTGACACATAAGAAGGTTGATGTAGGAAACTTCTTGTAAATAGACTGAACATGGGAAAGCATGTGGTAAGACAGCCTTCATTGCCAAGGACTTAACTCAGGTATATAAAAAAAACTTTCTATAAAAAGCCTTACTGCTCCAGTCATCCAAAAATACACACAAGTGAGGCACACTATAACTGTAGTGAATGTGAGAAATTATTTTTTAAAAACACTTAAAAAAACATATGAGAATATATAGAATGGAAAAGTCCTACACATATAAGGATTATGATAAAGCCTGATAAAGCCTTTGAGAAGTCAAATGTAACTGTTTATCAGAGAATCCATATAAGGGGGAAAAACCCTATGAATGTAGTCAACATCAAAAAGTCATTTTTCAGAGGTAAAAAAAATAACTGTTTATCAGAGAAATCAAAGAAAAGAAACCCAAGGAATGTAAAGAAAGTAGGAAAGTTTTTTCCTGGAACTCAACATTTGTTATACATGAAAGAAGTCTTATTGGAGAGAAACCCTTTGAATATAAAGAATATAGGAAATTCTTGTCTCTGAACTCACACTATACTAATCATCTGAGGACTTATGCAGGAGAGAAACCCTATGGATGTGAACAATGTAAGAAAACGTTCTTCCAGAATTCAGACCTCACTGTACATCGTAAAACTCACACAAGAGAGAAACCTTCTGAAAGTGAACAATGTAGGAAAATATTCTACCAGAAGTCACACCTCACTGTTCATCAGAGGACTCACCCAGGAGAGAAACTCTATGAATGTGTACAATGTAGGAAAACCTTTTCCCAGAAGTCAGCACTCACTGTACATTGGAGAATTCACACAGGAGAAAAGCCCTATGAATGTGTACAGTGTGGGAAAACATTCTCCCAGAAAGCAGACCTCACTGTACATCAGCGGACTCACACAGGAGAGAAACCCTATGAATGTGAACAATGTAGGAAAACGTTCTCCCTCAAGTCATCTCTCACTGTACATCAGCGAACTCACACAGGAGAGAAACCCTATGAATGTGAACAATGTAGGAAAACATTTTCTCAGAAGTCGATACTCATTGCACATTGGAGAATTCACACAGGAGACAAACCCTACGAATGTGAAGAATGTAGGAAAACATTTTCCCACAAGGTAGTCCTCACTGTACATCAAAGAACTCACACAGGAGAAAAACCCTATGAATGTGAACAATGTGGGAAAACGTTCTCACGGAAGTCGTCCCTCACTGTACATCAGAGAACTCACACAGGAGAGAAACCCTATGAGTGTGAACAGTGTAGGAAAACATTCTACCAGAAGTCAGCCCTCACTGTACATCAGAGAATACACAGAAGAGAAACCCTGTGAATATAAACTACATTCATGACAGCCTTCACTGCACATCAGAGAACTCAGGCAGGAGAGAAGCCCTGAAAATGTGGACAATGTAGGAAAACATCTACAAGAAGTGACAGTGTACAGTGCAAAAGAAAACTCAGAACAGAAATATGAACATAATAAATGAAGGAACTCTTTCTATCAGATTTCAGAACTCACTGTACATCAGAGAACCCATATGGGTGAATAATTAGTAACACAGTCTTGTAAGACTTTCGATCATAATTTAAAAATGAACTAATCCCTGAAGGAAATAGCAGTGAACTTTTTTTCACTTTCAGTTGTTTTGATTCAGCAAGCCACAGCAGTTAAAAATAAGGATATCATAAATTTTAGGATGGTATCTATGTCTCCAAACATTTCAGCATTTTGATGAAGAGCTCAGAGTTCTTCAGCTACAAGAGTTAAATGCCAGATTATTTCTGAGACATATATGTGGTATTTTAAAGGTTAAAAAAAAAAGATTTGGGAAAAATAAACATGGAAATTAAAACACCAAGTGAAATTTGTCTATCCAGTTCTGTCCATTGTTTAGAAGACAGCAAAAAAGTGATTCTAGCCTTAAAAACTTATAAATTCCCCCAGAGCCTGGGAACCACCCATACCTACTGAGAACACCTTCCATGAATACCTTTGGTGAAATTTCCAATTTCACATTAGAGATAGAAGAGACCCAGCCTGGCCAGGAGGCATATGACAGGTGTATGTGTGTGGGTGCATGCATGTGCACATGTGTGTAGGTGTGTAGGAGGGGCAGTATCCCAGGGGCATCAGGATATTTGCAGGACCCCCTTTGGCTGTTAGTCACAACCTTTATGTCTTGCTTCAGCCAATTTCTGAGGCAGAACACTCCCAGGTCGAGAAATGCAACCCATGGTGAATTGGTATTAGGCTGCTTTTGGTTTACCCAACATCACCAAATGGCTAGACCAGACCAGATCATGGTGACCAGCATGCCGAGTAGGTGGTGTCATTGTTTAGAATAAGGGGCTGTAGGGAGTCAGTATGAGCTGGAATGTCTACAATCATCACTGCTGTCTCCACGCTTGATTCATCTTGTAAAATTGGCTAGATTTCAAATATATGCCTCTTTCCCTTAAAGTGAATCCCAGATTCATTCTACTCTACCGCTAGTTAATTTAATTAATTAATTGATTTGTCATTATTTAATTTGCCATAAGGCATATGCGCTTACCACAGAAAGACAGAGAAAGGGAGAAAGCAAGTTGGTCTAGGACATGAACCACGGTTGGTCATGTGAGAGTCCAGTGCCTTAACCACCATGCCACTTGCCTGCCACTGTCACTACCTTTAAATTCATAGGATTGTTATTCCCAGCCTAGAAACAAAAATTTTTATTGAACTTGATGGTACACCTGGGATTTCTTCAACTGTTTCTTCAGAAAAGATATAGAGTTCTTAACAAAAAAATCTTTCCTTTTTTTGTAACTTGAAGTTTGGGGAAAAATATCAACCTTAAAGAAGGAAATTGCAATACTGCTTACAACATGGATAAACTTTGACATTATGCTGAATGAAATACCTAGTCCCTAAAGGCAAGTTCTGCATAGTTTTACTTATAAGTACTAGCTAAAGTCCTTGAATTCATTTAGAAATGCAAGATAGAATGGCAGTTATAAGAGGCTGTTAGGAAATAAAATCTAAGAGTTCTCCAGCTACAGAAGTTAAATACCAGGTTATTTCTGAGACACAGATGTGATAGTTTAAAGATGCAAAGAAACATTGATTTGGGAAAGAATAAAAATAAGCATAGAAATAAAAACAGTAAGTGACATTTGTCTATCCAATTTTATCCATTGGTACAGAATTTAATGAGTACAGAGTTTCTATTTTACAAAATGAAAGAATTCTGGATCTTGGTTGCACAGTAATGGGAACAGACTCAACAAGATTGAACTGCATACTCTTAGACATGATTGAGATGTAAATGGCCAAAAGTCTTTAGTTAGATTTTAGTCAGGCTTCTCGCTCTTTTAGGTTCCTCTGTGTTCTAAAATCCCCATGGAGCAAAGAACCCTCAATAGTTGGACCAGTTTTAATAATTGACTGTATTTCTTATCCTCCACCACCCCCAGGTGATGTGTGATCACCCTGCCTTCCTTCAGCAAGAATTCTGTTAGTTCATTTTATCCCAAATCCCTCATGTCCTTGATGTTCCCTTTTAGTAATTTTCCATCTGCTGTCTCCCTCACTGCTTCTTGGCTGTTAATTTCCACTGCCCATAATGTATTTGGAGTTAAGCCCAATCTCCCTTCCCCACTGCAAAACTCCCATTGCAGTGGACCATAACCTTCTGATGGTCCTAAATAAAGCTTTTCTTACTAGGCTTGGAGTGTCATTGAATCAGTTTTGTTTAGTAGATGGTAAATTTTATGGGAATTTCTTCTACAATAAAAACTTTCATGGGATGTTCAGAGTAGGAATAATAGATTCTAAAGGGAAACGGATGGTTGCCAGGGGCTGGGTGGTGGTGCGAGAAATGGAAAGATGGTACATAATTATATAGTGATTGTTAGCTATGCAAGATGAAAGGAGTCATGAAGTTGAATAGTGATGCTGCTTCTAGAACATTGTGAGGAAATGTGATAAATTTTATCTTTTGCATATTTAAAATAATAAACACCAGTATATATTTGTGTGTACATATGTGTGTGTGTGTGTGTGTGTGTGTATGTGTACATATAATGTATGGTGTGTACAGTGGCAAAATAACTAGCAATTACCTAAAAATGTCCAGTAATTGGTTAAGGTTTGAATCAGTTATAACCCATTTATGCTAAAGTAGAAAAAATAAATACTGATGCTTTAGTATTAGCAGAATGTTTCTGGAAAAAATTATTCCCAAAAAGACAGCATGTACCTCAGATAGTGGCTATTGTCCCTTCTGCTGTCGTCTCTCATCTTCAGTCACCACCCTCTTAGGGTACAGTTTGATGTGATAGATTCCCCTTCTCCCCAATTTTTGGTCACTTTTGAAAAGGCTTCCACATTATGGAAGAAAAGCATATATGGAGAAAGATGTAGGAAGGTGTTTGCAGAACTAGTCTCATCCCAATATATTTTGCCATTCCGTTCACATTTCCTAAGAGACCAAATCATACTTCACTGGTGCATGATTTCCTATGGACTAGGGACCTAGCATATGGCTTGTATAAAAAGGTGTTTTTCTTTTATAATCAATGTTCTTTCAGTTTTCAAATTTAAGACATGTCAGTGTGAAATTTCTACCAAAAAAAAAAGACACTTTCTCTTCCTGCCCTGAAAAGATGTTCCTAAAAGCCATTTGGAGGTGTCTTGAGAGATTTTCACTCATGATGTGAAGCAGTCTTATAGAAACATCCCACAAGAACCTTCTAGGGAATTTTTTGCTCAGATACACGTAAGGACCAGTCACTATTATTCTGAGGATTTGTTGCCACCTAGTGACCAGAGCTTTCACAGACACATAAAAGGATTAAATCTACTTAAGTGTAAAAATCTTGAGGAACAGCACCCATGAGTAGTACACTTTGATCTGATAGACCGTCCCCTTTTTTTGAAATCATTTTTGAAAAAACTACTAGGTCGTCCAAGTTGAGAAAGCACTCGTTTTTTAAAATTATTTATTTTATTTATTATCATTATTATTATTTTAACTTGCTATAGGGTACATGTGCTCAGCAGAGAGATGAGAGAGAAGGAAAGTGAGAAAGCAAGCCACCAGGTTTGGGACTCAAACTGGGGTCAGCCATGTGGGAGTCCAGCGCCTTAACCACCACACCACCTGCTGGCCCAGGAAAATGACTCATTTTAAGCAGACTTTTCTCTAAGGGACAGCTCCCTTAGAAACATCACCTGGCAGCCAGCAGGTGGTGTGGTGGTTAAAGGCACTGGGCTCCCACATGGGCAACCATGGTTCAAGTCCTGAACCTGGTGGCTTGCTTTCTCCCTTTCTCTCTCTCTCTCTCTCTCTCTCTGTCTCTCTCTCTGTCTCTCTCTCTCTCTCTCTCTGTCTGCTCAAACTGGAAAGAAAGAAAGAAAAGAAACATCACCTGTATTTATGTATAATGCCTATGTGCTCCACCTTGTAAGTACTTAGGAAAATGAGCCCACAATGTTTGAATAGTATATTCATATGTATAATTTGGGAAAAGCTGTGGTTATGGACTCAGGAAATTGAATGGGAAAAGTTACTTTCAATGGTATCTAGAAGTCACCTGAGATACCATAAAATCACCTCCCTTTGGGTAAATAAAAAATTATCACAAGTTATCTTAAAATTAAAGTAAATTTCAGAGAGCTATTTTCCAATTGCTCCTTTGCTGCCCTTGCTGGCACCCTTTATGCTCTTCTGTATGATCTTCCACAGCCTCAACTCTCTTGTTTGTCACCTCCATCTCTATCTCCAGTGAAGAAAATTGAACAGACTCCAGGCTCTTGTCACCCTAATTTGGCTAATCCTTTCAAGGTAAAGATTCTAACAGAGGAGAACCAGCCTTAGTATATAACCCATAGTATTTCAGTCTGTCAAAAGCAAACTGTCAAATTCATCAAAAAGATACCTTCCTAAATTTTACCTTCTCAATGGATTAGACAAAGATTCCATTATTTTAATTAAAGACATCAGGTTAACTGGGCAACTGTCTCAATGCATGATCTTGTTAATCTGGCCAGTTTTCTAAAATGAATAAAAGAAGAGAAATACAGTACCTCTAAGGTCGTGAGTTTATAGCCCCAGCAGCTAACTATCCAAACCAGTCCTTTTTAAAAAATTTAATTCATTTTAAAAATATTTGTTTCATTTGTTTCGTTTTGTTTTGTTTTTAATTTGACCACATAGAGACAGAGAGAGAGAAAGGGAAAGGGAGAAAGCAAGCTGTCAGGTCCAGTAGTCAGCCATGTGTGAATCCAGTGCCTTTAACCACCTTGCCACCTGCCAGCCCCTATTTATTTAAGAGAGCGATTTGTAGGGCCAGCAGGTGGTATAGTGGTTAAGGGCACTAGACTCCCACATGGGCCAAACGTGGTTTGAGTTTGGACCTGGCAGCTTACTTTCTCACTTTCCTTCTCTCTCTGTCTCTCTCTCATTCCATCCCTCTCTGGTCAAATTAAAATAAATAAAGTTAAATAAAACAATTCTTAAAAAAAAAGAGAGAGAGAGAGAGATTTGCCATAGGGTGTGTGTGCTCGCCGGAGACACAGAGTATTTTTATTTATTGGGTTTTTTGGTTTTTTAGAGGTTTTTGCCTTAGGTTGCATGCGCTTGCAGGAGAGAGCAAGAAACAGACAGAGGGGAGGTGAGAAATCACCCCCTAAGGGGAATGGCCACACTGCAGTCTTTCTCGATTCTCCCAGGATCCTAAGCACACACGCACACACACACCCGGTGTGATTTTCAAGCCACCAGGTCTGGCACTTGAATTACAACCAGCCATGGGAAATACAGCAACGGCTACACCATCTGCTAACACCATGGTTTTTTGTTTTTAATGGTTATTTTTTTTTTTTCAGAGTTTGGACTACTTAAAAGGTTGTATCTTTTAAGTTCAGAGATCCTTTCTTTTGGATCATCTAACTTGTCAGTGCTCTCTACGGAGTATTTTATTACCTGTATTGTATCTTCGACTCTAAGATTTATGTTTGAATCTTTTTAAAGATGTCTATCTTCCTATTAAATCTCTTTTCCAAGTCATTCATTCTTTGTTTCATCTCCTAAAATTGTCTGTTTTCTCTTGCATCTCATTGAGTGTTGGTTTTTTGTTTGTTTTTTTTTTGTTGTTGTTGTCTTTTTTGTGTTTTTTTGGAGAGGTTTTTGCTATAGGGTGCATGTGCGCGCCAGACAGACAGAAACAGACAGAAAGCGAGAAATCACCCCCCCCAGGGGGGATGGCCACGCCGCAGTCCCTTCTCTTCCATTCTCCTCTTGGGATCCTGGGCACGCATGCACACGCACCCAGCATGAGTTTTAAACCACCAGGTCCGGGACTTGAACCACAGTTGACTACATGGGAGTCCAGCAACATAGCCATTATGCTAACTGCTGGTCCCATCATTGAGTGTTGTTTCTATCAATATTCTCAAATCCGTTTCCAACAATTATGGGATTTCCTGTATTTTTTCCAGTGTTAGGAGTTAGCATGTTCATTTAGAAGAATAATATTTTCTTGGTTTGTTTGCTTTTGTTCTTCATATTTCTCATATCCCTGCTTTGGGTTTTAGGCATTTGGTGGAGTACACAATTTTTCCTGATTTATGGAGTAAATTCTATAGTGGCAGTATTTATTTTATCAGTATTAAAAATTATTTTTCCAGGGACCAGCAGTCGGCATAATGGCTATGTGGCTGGACTCACAAGTAGCCGACCATGGTTCAAGTCCCAGACCCAGTGGCTTAAACTCACGTTGGGAGCATTGTGCATGTGTGCCCAAGATCCCGTAAGGAGAATAGAGGAGAAGGGATTGCGGCGTGGCAATCCCCCATGGGGGGTGACTTCTCGCTTTCTGTCTCTGTCTTTCTGGTGAACGCACCCACCCTAGAGAAGAATGGAGGAGAAGGGATTGCGGAGTGGCCATCCTCCCTGGGGGGGTGGGGGTGATTTCTCACCCTCTGGGTCTCTGTCTGTCTTTCTAGCGAGCGTATGCTCACTATAGCAAAAACCTCTAAAAACATATATATTTTTTTCTTGTGATTGCAGCCTTTAATACTAGTTAAATGAATCATTTTGGTATTGATTCTGATTGAGTTTGTTGTAGAAGAATCTGTTTTCAGGGGTCATAATAGGTGGATGAGGACTGTCATAAGAGTAGAGGAAGGGAGCCGTGTGCTACTCTCTGAGGCTAGATGCTGAGTAGGGAGGAGCTTACTTCAGGGCTAATAGCTGGGCAGGGCCCAATGGATCTTAGAAGAATGTCTCTCTATCTTTCAGTGAAGAGGATTAGGCAGAGCTCTTCACGTTGTATGGAGGGAACAGGGCTTGAGTAGGATTTCCATGGAGCTCCAGAAGGGGGACAGGTATGGGGGAAATAAGCCCCAAGTGGGTCCAGGTGTGGTGATCCTCTGAGGTTCAGAGGTAGGCAGGGCCTGAGCCTATCCAGAGCACCTTATGAGATAGGAAAGTTCATAAACCTGGAGGTTAGAATGGGGCCCAGTCATGCCCTAGCCATGCTTAGGTTAAGCATACCTTGAGCAGAAAACTAAATGGGGCTTGGGAACCAGCAGTTAGCGTAATGGCTATGTCGCTGGACTCCCACGTAGTCGACCGCGGTTCGTGTCCCGGACCCGGTGGCTTAAAACTCACGCCGGGCGCGTGTGCGTGCATGCCCAAGATCCCGAGAGGAGAATGGAGAA